ATATATATACATATATATATATAATATATATATGTATATATATATATACATACATACATAAAGAGACAGACACAGACACAGACACAGACACAGACCTATAAATATAAATATACATACATAAATACATAATCACATATACATATACATACATACATAGATACTTAGGTACATAGATACACATATCATGTCTCTCCCAACTGAAGTTATATACTGTAGTTCACTTTGTACTTGGACATAGCATTTGATCAAGTACGTTATATGTTTGCGTCACTAATCAGGGGTCATGGCGTATTTGCTCATTCTGATACGCATATACTGGCATATTAAATGCAGACTGATATGAACGTATATGTAGTTAGATCATGCATATATGCGTACATACACGAAGACATCAATCGAATAAAACTCAAAACACCTGTATATACACATGCATATACATATATTTTTATAGATAGCAATACACATATACATGTAGAAGAACATCAAATAAAAATGTTATACCAACATACATATAGATATACAAAATCCATATATACACATGCATATAAATGGACATAAATACATACATACATAAATAAACGATGAATCTGTAGACATACATACCGCAAACTTGACTCGTTCGTCCCATTTCGGAAACAATGAGTTCTTGATAGTCTTTGTTTTGACCAAACGCTGTTTGCCCAGATCAGCGGTGACATAAGGATCGGACAAACCATCCATATCGGCCGCTAACACGTAAGAGTACGAGGCGGTTGTTTAGGGTTTAGAGATGTTCAGATACGAAATAGCGATGATGTATATGAATATGTCCAGGTTAATACATTGGTTCATGTGACCCAGAGTGGGAGGTTCTGGGTATAGGATATAACGATCAAACAAAGGAACCTACCACATGCATACGAGTCATAAGGCAAAGGCTACAGTGTTCTGCACTATGCAGAAATTATACGCCCGGTGCAGTAACGAGGATGGGTGTGCATTCTCACGTACTCTTAAACTCCCGAGACTCAGGGTTACAGAGGTGCATGTGACACACACTTGTATTGGTTAGATATGGCTGATATGAATACCTGTTTCTGACAACTATACTCCGAAGCCGAGACACAGGTGAAACTTGCGCTACGTGAAAGCTCTATGGTACATATGTATGACACACAGCAAGAACACACATATTACATATACGATCTTATTCAGGCCCAGCCTGATATGGACAACTAGCAGACATACAAACAAATGTGCCAAAGGGTGAACTGCAGTGCCTTGATTGTAACGGCATCATCACTCCTAGCCTCATATGAGTACAAATTGCCGTAAGGCTAGTAACCGCAGACGCTGTGTCCAATAAACCTGGGTTTCTCCTATATGCGAATGATAAAACTATCTATACGGCTCATAGCTAGACCTGTCTTAGTGCATATCTTTCGCGACATCTCAGATAAGCATAGTTTACAGGAGTACTAGCTACCAAGGACACCGTCTCTACCAAGATTAGCCTGCACCTCAATACGCATGTCAGACTACATGCATCGCTTCTATATGATCATCCCACCTAGATTTCTTCCTAGATATCCCAGGCAGTATGGGTTTCAGTAATCCGAGATACCTTAGCACACTATATCAGAATTCATTTTCTCGTCGGTGTGCGTGTCAAACTACCTATATATCATACAGCAAAACCAAAGTACTTCTACATAATTTTTTTGTTGAGATAATAGACTATCGAAGACTTCTTTCAGAGTCCAATGTACGGGAATAGAGTACGAGTCAAGCAACACAACCACTACAGTAAAAGGCGGGATGGTACGTGCGCATGATGTAATAAGCATAGCACCTGTGCTAATAATAGTGTGCCCCCATACGTCTCCTACGTAGCATTTACAGTTTTATAACACATACACAATGTAATACCAAAGAACATAAGAAGCGATATACACATTACGTCACTCGCTCCACTAACAGCTGGATGCTCAGCGATTTATAGGACATCGACACACTACTTTGCGCTATGACTGAGCAACGGAGATGTACCAGTTTCCACTCTAGCTTCACAGGGAAAGCAACACAACACATTACCAACACCTAGCATACAACACTACATGCTCAGCCATTCGGCGAACTCATGGACAGTACTGGTGTAGTAACATACAGCGCAGGTTGCGGGCCTCGTAGATCTTGATGGTCACCCATCCGTGCACGAAGACCATATTGGTCTATTGCTATACTATGAAACCAACTGTGAGTGTGTATCTATTCAGCGAAGCAGGTGTCGTTATATATTTATTATACGACTACTATGTATGCTGTCGGTTCGTTAAAACACGTACATCACAACAACGGAGAGTTTTTATACAATTTATGCCGGCGACTGTGTCCAACATCTCGTACCAAAATGAAAACATCCACACGAGAGCTGCTCTATACTACTACTAGCTTTAATACGAGTATTTAAAAAAAAAATGAGTAGTAGTGAAGGGGAGGAAAGATGGATTGAGATAAAAACTGGCCCAATTGACCGATTATATGGGACGACCTAATTATGATTAGCTGTCAGAGTGTCAGATTATGATCTAAATATAGATGTGTGCTATTATTCTCCTATAGCTGACTAGGAATTGCTTGGGTTTTATTGGGGATACCTTAGAAGTATAGGCGTACCCTAAAGTTTTTAGGACTCTTGAAATACCCCTCGGGCTCACCGCTCAACTGTTTTAGTTGATCGTATATCTTTGTCATCAAAAAGCATATATTTATTTATTTTATTTTATACTGCTGCTGTGTTTATATTTGGTTATCACATAAAAAAGCGGGGGGTAAAGGTATGTAAAACTATACATTTGAGTATTCCAAATATTTCTGATGCAAATACGTGCCTGCTCTCGTTGAGTTGAGGTGAGGTGAGGTGAGGTAGTAGAGGTATGAGAAAAGTCAGCGATACTTCTCAAAGCTTCACAACAGCATTTGGCTACACGGCCAATACTATACTATACCCCGGGGTATTTCCTAGTCAATCCAAAATTCAAGGCTCTAAAAGATTGCTGAAGTAGAAACTTTGCGTCAGCGACAACATACCACGTTTGTGCGATAACATCTCACACAAGAATGCCTGTATAGGTACTTATTGGTACTATCTAACTGACAGTGAAGTAGCAGTGTAGACGTCATGGATGATTCAATCGACGATGCCATAGCTCTCACGACCGGACAGCTGTTTGACGCTGTATGTAACAGGTCGAACTGGATTGAATAATAATATTGTTTATATTGTTTTGAATAGGGATATAGAGATGCCGGTTCATCAAGACCGATTCATGTTAAATTCGATGGTGGTTGATAAACATATGTACATGCAGACGAAAATGTCATCCGTAACCGCACACACACACACAGACACAGACACACACATACATACACACACAGACACGGACACACACATACACACCCACACCCCCCACACACATTGACTCTCATACATACATATATGCATATATAAACCAAAATAAATAACACATACATACATACGTAAATACAAACATACGTACGTACATACCCACATACATACATACATACATACATACATACATACGTACGTACGTACAAACGTACCTATATGCATACATACAAACATACATACACACTCACACACACACT